CACACACACACACACACACACACACACACACACACACACCAAAAAAAGCACACACAAACCACAGTTTTCTTTGCTGCCATCACAGACACCCCTGCTTCTGAACCATGGCCCCACCCAAGCAGAAGGAAACTGAAAGGTTTGCTACATTTTCAAACATTTCCACTCTTATTTTTGTCACGAGTCAAATGTTTTGAGTGATCAATGGGAAATTATTGGTCTCTAAAACAAAAAAAAATTATGTGTTGTATGCAAAGCAGAAAAGATCCTGAAACTCTGTCATGTCATGTATGTTTATCCCATACAGCTGTGTGTCAGTGTCTTCCAGATGTGCAGTGTTGATTATAATAGGTTCTTTAACATGACACCAGTTACTGTGTTAGACAATACTCACATCTATTACTCTGTATATATGGATTAGTATTTTATTTAGGGAGTCATAATCACATCCTGTCATGTATCATAACTAGTCCAGCATATTTTATTGTTCTAACATCTGTGTTGTTTTCATTTTGATTTGTTCAGATATGTATTTATTTTGCTGCATCATAATTCATCTAATTTTAAACAACTCCATGTTGATCATCACACTGTTTCTTGATGTGCTTCTTGTATTGTCATTGCCATGTGTATTACAGGAAAATCAGTGTGTTCAACACCTCAGGCGCCTGTCTGTTTCATGTCCAGAGCATTTTCATCATTCCATTAGAATTGTTTATTTATTTATTTTTTGTCTTTAATTTAATGTTTTATGTGCAGACTGTATTGCGGGGTTGGAAAATCTAAATTGCACATAACATAAAATATTACCTGCTTTCTTGTCTTGACTGACTCAGATGTGATGAGATCTGTTCAGATTTAAAAAGTAAAAAAAAAAAGTCAAAGCTGTGTTAAGCATGTAAGAAAAAGCTAAACAATCACATGCAGAAGTATCAAAATATAAACAAAGAAGCCCTCTGAACTCATGCTCTCTGACATATTTATTTCCCCCTTAGCTTTTTCCCTGACATTGTTTGATCACTTATCTTTTTAATGCAACTAAATTCAATTTTTATTCCAGTTTTCCTCACTTTTATTTTATTTATTACATAACGTTACTATAAAATTTGTAATCATAATAGAAGAACAATCAATACAAAGCAGTGAGAACATTAAAAAAATTGAAAGCATTTGATTGTTTGTGACACCGTGTCATGTTAACTGTCAGTATTTATTAGATGGCCACACACAAGCTAGCGGGAAAATACTATATTTATAGTATATTAACACATTACAACAGGTTGAGCTAGTTTGAAAATGCAAAATATTATTTTGCTGTTATCAGCCTTTACCTTTCCACAAAAAACTCACCTTTTCACCTGTTTTTTTATTTAATTAACAGTAACTAATTGTGTTCTGTTGAGTAAGATGGATTAATGCCAATCAAAACTTTATGGTATTTGAATCATTCTCATTTTTTAATTTTACTTAAAGTAAGATTTTACTTTATCAGCACAAGACAATCAAGTTGTTGAAAATTATTATTGTTATTGTCCCCATCTCCCCTTTTTTTGAGCTGGTGGTGCTTTTTTAAGACAAGTAGAAGGATATTAAATTATTATTTTTAGGTAACTATACTTGCTTAGTGAACATTAAAAATCCCAAATGTTTTTCCTGTGAACTCTGATGCTACTGCAATACTACAAAAAATGAAAATTACTAGCAAAAATAAAATATCAAAATGTATTGAGTGTCAAAACAATTAAGCAAAGAAAAATAAAACTATCAGCCAAAAGCAATTTAGAATTTTTGCAGCAAATGGTATGAAATGAAGTGTTTTGTTAGAAACAACACACACTCACACAGACACACACAACTTTAAATAACAAAAAGACATTGTGCCTCATGCAAGAACTGTTCGTACGCACAGATATGTTCTTAAGTTGTGCGTACGAGTGATTTAGGAGAATTTGTGGCATTCACCAATGTTTTCGTATTCTAAGAATTTTTTCAGATAAGAACAAAATTCACGAGTGGTCCAGACCTGTCGTATATTACGAGCAGTCAGTCTGCTGTTATCCAGACAGGTTTTCCTCCCTAATAATTTTATAT